ATTTATTCTAACTTGACACAGAATAAATAATTCTTTCAGCCAGTCCGAATGAATATAGTACTTATATTTGTTTCTGTAAAAGAAATGAAAATTATACTTATTTGTGACATGCAACCAGGATTATTTTTTTATTCTAACTTGACACAGAATAAATAATTCTTTCAGCCAGTCCGAATGAATATAGTACTTATATTTGTTTCTGTAAAAGAAATGAAAATTATACTTATTTGTGACATGCAACCAGGATTATTTTTTTATTCTAACTTGACACAGAATAAATAATTCTTTCAGCCAGCCGAATGAATAATTTATTGATAGTGATTAATTCAACAATACTGTAACCCCTGAATATCGATGAATATCGAGTCTTCACAAAGTGCATTATTTATGTTATTTCTTCAGGCACAACTGAAGCTGTCCTTGGATGACTTATTCTTCGACTAGGTCTTTTCAGTATAAATTCTTCTATTTGAATATATAAACAACTCTTGTCGAGAATCTATTTTCCCCTACCTCTGGTCACCGACCACATCTAGTTTTATCTGGTAGTTCCACAAGAATCGTAGCGTCTACAAAGCAGTAACCCTCCACTACAACTCCACATGTTTACGAAGTACTACGCTCAATACAAACTTCAAGTCAATTTACTGCTATGATGCGTTTTTTCCTATATTCTATTAAGGCTGAGTCTGGATGCCACAAAAAGTTGATGTCGAAATAATATTCTGACCGAGCATTCCCTTTTCAAATAGGAGGTGAGAAAATATTTGGGAAATATTTGGATCTTTCGATGCCATGATGGAATGAGAACGATTGCTGGAATACTAGTACCATGTTGCTGCAGTGTTGGAACCTCTTTCTGTCGGAAAACAGTAAACATTCGACGTATTATGTCCATTTATAATATATGTCAGATTTGGTAGCCAAACACACAAAAGCTGTCGTTTGAAAAATTGCCAAAATATTTCTGAAAATTTGCAAAAGAGGTCTTTCCTGACATCTTTTTGAGTGGCCCTGACTACAATACAAGCCACAGTTTTGCATGGATTGAGTAGCTAGCTATCAGTGTTTTCGTAGTTGTTGCCACTTCCAGGCAGATTGTAGGCCAAGTCAAGCTGTCGAAACGCTTTGAAGTTAGTCAAGACGAGGTACTTCTCTGGTTGACTTGGCCAAGGAGAGGGCACCTCCGGATATTATCCAGATGATTCACAAGGAAGCACTTCTTGAACAGGTACATATACCATACATGCCGCGTCTGTGGGTCTAGCTGTTGGTATCGATACTTAGTAGTCTTCCACTCGACATCCGACTCCACTACTAGTACGAAGGGCTCTCTGTTGTGTCGACGAGTCGAGTGACGCTGATTGCCACGTACAACTGGACCTATGACAATTCCTTGACATTTGCTGCGAACGGTCGATTCCACAGGTCTCACTCAGTGTGGAGGACACTGGGTGCATATTCGACAAGAAACTTCTCAATCGAGTCTTTGAAGTCCTCAATTCAGAAGAATCAGTACAAAATGAAACATACAAATGGCTTGATTTGGAGTTTTCATCTTTTTTACCCAATTTTGCCCAAGTAATATTTCGAAAATTTGGTTCAAAGGAATTGGAAGAATTTGGGTGTCGTCTATTGTTGACTGTCTGGATCAAACTGATTTCGAAAGAAACTCGACGATTCTCAGTTATTGCCAAGTTTTCAGAAAAAAGGTCTATTGTTTGGCGAAAAACGCGATATTTGGCAAAATATTGTATTCCAGACACATGATTTTTCATTATTTGCCGATTGCTTAGAAATTGCCAAAATATCGAAGCTTTTCGTCAATTTTTGACATCCCGACTAAAAAAGTCCTGATTCAGCCCAGGATGACTTGGAGGTATGTCGTGCCGCCAGTCCGTGCTCGCCATCGTTCGTTTGAAATGACCTGATCCATCACAGGACTTGGACCCCGCGCAATTGCCAGGTTTGTGTCCCTACATCCGCGGTCCGTACTCGTCCATGTACGCGGCCGAGCTGTGGACCGTTCGCCAGGTACATTCTCCATGTTGCTCGTCCTTTCTCGTAGCTTGTGTGTCTCAAGCTCCTCATAGTACGCCGGTTTCTGTACCGGCCGAGGAATCGAACGCCTTTTAGCGCTTGGTCGCAGGGCAACAAGGGCTGAGTGTCGCGTTCGATTTGGCGACCCATCGCAGGTACGATTCCGAACGTGGGGATGGCGGGTGTGCCCATCGATTCGGTGGAACACATGAATGTAAGCACACACACCTTCATGCACGGATGTGCCTTCTTGTTGACATATCTGATCCTAGGTCTTGATTGACGGCATCCCACTCGACAAAATGTCCGTGTCCATGACTATGAACGGCGCCGTGCTGTCCATCCTGGCCATGTACACCGTGGCGGCGGAAGAGCAAGGCGTGGATCAAAAGTTACTCGCTGGCACGATCCAAAACGACATTCTGAAGGAATTTATGATCCGCTCTTCCCACCGCAGCCGTCCATGCGTATCATCCAGGTATGTCTACCATCCTTCTACGATGGATTTGTATCATTTTCACGACATTTTGTGTCACATTTTGTGTCAAATATGCCCTAAAAAGTGATAAATTTCGACTTTTTAGTTGTTTGGTGCACCTTGTATGACTGCTAACAACGATATTGTTTGTAGGATATCTTTGGGTACAAGTTGGAGTGCATGCCCAAGTACAATTCGATCTCGATTTCGGGGTACGACGTGCAAGAAGCAGGCGCTTGGAACTCGCGTTTACTATTGCCGATGGCATCGAGTACGTGCATGCTGCCGTGGCCGCGGGCCTGGACGTCGCCCCGCGCTTGTGGTTTCTTCTTTGCGATCGGCATGAACTTTTACATGGAGGTGCGAACGTCCTCCTTGTCTTGGTCGTAAACTTGTGTTTTGCGATCCAAACCCCACTATGAGGGTTCGTTCAACGAGTATATATTGACCATTTCACCCAAATTCGGACTACTCACTTGATTTGATCGATTTAAACTTATATAATCTATACCATACAACGATTAGTATATATATGGGTTGACCATATTAAACGATGTTTGGATTGGTAGAAATTCGACACGACGTGATGTTTTGATTGGCTTAGGCGGTTGTTCATTTTATTCTGTTATTGTCCTGTTACCCAAAATGTGGACTTTAGTGCTGATTCTTTGCCAAATCTATCGATCGATTCTTTTGCACTGACGTTTGTATGTAAAAGTCGTTCGATGTCACACTAATTTCAGTCTGGTGGAACACATGAATGTAAGCACACACACCTTCATGCACGGATGTGCCTTCTTGTTGACATATCTGCTCCTAGGTCTTGATTGACGGCATCCCACTCGACAAAATGTCCGTGTCCATGACTATGAACGGCGCCGTGCTGTCCATCCTGGCCATGTACAGTACACCGTGGCGGCGGAAGAGCAAGGCGTGGATCAAAAGTTACTCGCTGGCACGATCCAAAACGACATTCTGAAGGAATTCATGGTCCGCTCTTCCCACCGCAGCCGTCCAGGTATTTCTACCATACTCCTATGATGGAATTGTCTTGTTTTCAGGTCATTTTGTATCATTTTCACATCATTTGGTGTCATTTTCACGACATTTTATACCATTTGCACGACATTTTGTGTCAAATATGCCCTAAAAAGTGATAAATTTCGACTTTTTAGTTGTTTGGTGCACCTTGTATGACTGGTAACGACGATATTGTTTGTAGGATACCTTTGTGTACAAGTTGGAGTACATGCCCAAGTACAATTCGATCTCGATTTCGGGGTACGACGTGCAAGAAGCAGGCGCTTGGAACTTGCGTTTACGATTGCCGGTGGCATCGAGTACGTGCATGCTGCCGTGGCCGCGGGCCTGGACATCGCCCCGCGCTTGTGGTTCTTCTTTGCGATGGGCATGAACTTTTACATGGAGGTGCGAACGTCCTCCTTGTCTTGGTCGTAAACTTGTGTTTTGCGATCCAAATCCCACTATAAGGGTTCGTTCAACGAGTATATATTGGCCATTTCACCCAAATTCGGACTACTCACTTGATTTGATCGATTTAGCTTATATAATCTATACCATACAACGAGTAGTATATATATGGGTTGACCATATTAAACGATGTTTGGATTGGTAGAAATTGGACACGACGTGATGTTTTGATTGGCTTAGGCGGTTGTTCAATTTATTCTGTTATTGTCCTGTTACCCAAAATGTGGACTTTAGTGCTGATTCTTTGCCAAATCTATCGATCGATTCTTTTGCACTGACGTTTGTATGTAAAAGTCGTTCGATGTCACACTAATTGCTGTCTCCCACTAATTCGATGATGTTGAATTGGTCGAAGAGTGGATTTGATTGGCCAGTTGGTTCGTGTTGTGGGTTTTGATTGGTCGATTGTCTGCCGATTTGGTGCTGCTCATTCGATTGAGCACCCAAACTCTCCAATTTCGAATCGACTTGGCAATATATATTTCGGTCTTTGTATCGCGCAGAACGACATTGTCCTTGTATCTATGAGACTCTTGTATACATCTCACGAATTGCTGTTTCACTTCTGTATCACATATATATCAATGTTGTGATTTTTATACTGTTCTATCACTCTATGACTATATATCGAATAAATGTGAAATCACATATATGTGCCTATTAATTTGGATGCACAATATTGATTTCGGTGTTTCATTCACCTCTCTTGGTGTGCTACATGTAAATGTATGCACTTACATGTATATACATGTTGAGTGTATGTATAGGAGACCAAAAAGAACTGTGATGAAACAGAGGCGGAAGGCGTGTACAACGACGTGCTGGCGGAAGTGGAGCTGTTTGCCGAGCGCCAGGGCGGCTGCTTGTGGCCAAGATGGGTGAGTACGACCGAGGGGCCAAGGTGATCGCGCCGGGTTTTTCCGACTTGGGCTTTGACGTTGGCCCGCATATGATCATTCCATTTGCACATGTTCGTTTTGCACCTAGTTGATTGAAGGTTATTATATAAACTCAAATCCCTCACTACCTTAACGTTACTATTGAGTAATACAAGGCTGCAGTACAGTGTATGGTGGTGCCGTGGTGCCACATACTCGGTGGGAGGGCAGGGTCAATCCAACGGCCAAGAAAGAGTTGGGGCCAAGTTTGTGGACAAAATCGTGTGGACGATAATGAATCATAACAGGAAATATATATATCGAAAATAAGCCTGAATTTTGGCTTCATGTAACAAAATATAGAATCATATCCGATACATAAGAGTCGAGTGATATAGCTTCCACTGCACGCGCCTCGGAAAAAAGTATTCGTAAATTGTACTATTCATAATTATTTCCAGTAGTAGCAAATATGAGCGATGCTGTCCAAAATGCCTGAATAATGCACCAAATTTCAAGGATCATGTTATTCTATGATCGTTCTTATCGACCCGTCCCATCCTGCACCAGAAACCGCCCCTCCGATGATTTGCGTGGGAATCGAAGTAAATGAAGTCTATTTAAACCGATTAAAGAACGTTTAAGACGACCTTTCGACACAATTGAAATCCCGCGCGACGAGAGTGCAAGCAGCCTTCCACGGCGAGGTCTCTTTCAAGTGCACCATGAATTGGCCACCAACGTTGTCGCAGTCATGGTTGCTGTCCATCATACTACACTAGTTTGTCGGCTGCTAGAGAGCACAGGGTGCAGCCAAAGGACCCATACCTTAGGCCTAATGGTGCACCATTTACCTTAGGCCTAATGGTGCACCATTTGGAATTTCAAATCGATTATGAAACGTCACGCTATTTTTAGTACTATACAGTAGTACGAGCATGTTCGGCATTTCTTTCATCGCAACCCTCCAGCAGACACACCAGTATGAACATGCCTTGGCTCCATCACGCCAAAGCCGCCGCGACGGACTTCGTGCGCGAGCTCTGGTCCACCGACGGCCTCCTCAATTATCTTACAGCAAAGGTGAGATCTCTTGTACTCACGATCCCACCTCTCACGTCCGTCGTCTTCGGTAGACCTATTTCCTCATCGTCGCGCTGTATCAAGTACCATCCGCCGAAACTTGGCGCTTGCAGCTTCGAGAGCTGGCCACTGTGGAGCGTAATGTCAACATCACCCACGGTGCCGTCAACTCCATAGGGAGCAGCGTTTCCATGTGCCTCTTGCCCGCGGCGGTAAGTCGCCGCAGCGGCGTCCTTTGACTTGCTCACGATTCATGATGTTTGCTGTGTAGACACCCATCCAAGAGCGCATTGCTTCTGACCGATCGGAAGTCGCTCATGCGGTGTCATCAAGCTTAAACGCTGTGCGCCGCGTCAGGTTGGCCAGGTCGGCCTTCCTCATCGAGCTGGTCCGTACCAAAGACATCCGTACCAACAAGGTCCTCAGCACATCCCTCGAAACAAAGGTACGACCCTCTCTCTACTCACGACCCCACCGTCACATCTTGTTATCCACGGTAGATGCATCGACTCCTCCGCGCACTGGAGCAAGTGCCGTCCACAGACTCATGGACGCACCAACTGGAAGAGTTGGCGCTTGACGACCAATGTGCTTACGACACTCAAGCACACAGCGTCCACGGCATTGCAAGTGTTACCTCTCACCTTGTGGATGTAAGTCGTCGACGCAACGGTGTAATGTAACTTTGTGACGAGTACTCATGTGTGCTGTCTAGGCACCCATCCCTACTCCAAATCCTTCGGAAGTCGCCACGGCGGCATTGGGTAAACATAGTGATGGCCACGATCAAGAAGACCTGGGCGTTGCCCCCACAGAAGTCGTCGACGACGACGAAGGCGATGTGCAGCATGCCACCACCGACGAAGCCGACCTTCTCAAGACATTTCCCGTTCGACATCGGTACGCTGCAATCAACTCGACAGTCGTTGGGTACAAGTCCGTGCCCTTCCACGGCGAGGACGTGCGGCTCTGGCGACAGCAACGACTGGCGCACGTGCTGCCCACCGTGGCCGAGAATACGGTCGGCCCGTCGGACCAGCTAGGCAAGCGGTTCCATAGCCGTAGCAAGACCTCCCCGAAGGCGACTGCAGACGACACGGACGATGACACGGCGGACAAGACGCCGGACTTCTGGGGCGAAGTGCTCAACCCGTCGAGTTGGCCGCACATTTCGCCTCCGACGACCCCGCCCCCATCCAACGTCGCCACTGCCGTGTTTGGTGAACATAGTGACGGCCACGACCAAGAAGACCTGGGATTTGCCCCCACTGCCGTGTTTGGTGAACATAGTGATGGCCACGATCAAGAAGACCTGGGCGTTGCCCCCACAGAAGTCGTCGACGACGACGAAGGCGATGTGCAGCATGCCACCACCGACGAAGCCGACCTTCTCAAGACATTTCCCGTTCGACATCGGTACGCTGCAATCAACTCGACAGTCGTTGGGTACAAGTCCGTGCCCTTCCACGGCGAGGACGTGCGGCTCTGGCGACAGCAACGACTGGCGCACGTGCTGCCCACCGTGGCCGAGATAACGGTCGGCCCGTCGGACCAGCTAGGCAAGCGGTTCCATAGCCGTAGCAAGACCTCCCCGAAGGCGACTGCAGACGACACGGACGATGACAAGGCGGACAAGACGCCGGACTTCTGGGGCGAAGTGCTCAACCCGTCGAGTTGGCCGCACATTTCGCCTCCGACGACCCCGCCCCCATCCAACGTCGCCACTGCCGTGTTTGGTGAACATAGTGACGGCCACGACCAAGAAGACCTGGGATTTTCCCCCACTGCCGTGTTTGGTGAACATAGTGATGGCCACGATCAAGAAGACCTGGGCGTTGCCCCCACA